TTAGTAATGAAAATATAATAGATATTTCAATGTAATTATTAAATGACACAAAGGAAAACTTGGATATAATGGAAGTATATTCACTGAATGTAAGAGTAATATAAAATCAGGTTTTATGAATATCTAAGATATTTGCAATTTTATATTGTTATATAAATCCATAATATGATGATTTCTATTAGTGGATTTTGAGTAAAATATTCATAATTTTGTCTTCTATATATCCACAAGTTTCTATATTTAGAGCTAAGACCAACATGTCCTTATTTAGCTCATTTTTAGTAGTTCTTTGAAAATTTCATACAGTATATTTTGATCCACCCCCATATATTCTTTCTTTCATTTTTTATTTTAATTTTAACTAACTTGTTTTACATGTCAATCCCACTTCCCTCTCCCTCCCCTCCTCCCGCACCCCCATCATCCCCTCCAGCCTCTCACCCTATCACCATTTCCTTCCACATAAGGGATATCTAGAGTCTGTCATTTCACTCAGGGCAGGGCCCAGGCACTCCCCTAAGAGTCCAGGCTGAGAGAGCATCCCTCTTTGTGTTATGGACACACGATATCTGTTTGTATGCCAGGGATAAACACTGATCCACTGCCCAGAGCCCCATAGGTTGCCCAGGACTCCTCACTGACTCAAACATTCCGGCAGGGTCTGGATCAGTCCCATGCTGGCCTCCCAGCTGTCGGTCTGGGGTCCAAGAGCTCTCCCCTGTTCATATCAGCTGTCTCTGCTGGTTTTGCCAGCCCATTTTTTGCCAATTTGCTCATCGCTCCTCTCTCTCTGTCACTGGGTTCCTTGGGTTCAGTTCAGTGTTTAACTGTGGGTGTTTGCCTCTGCTTACATCAGTCACTGGATGAAGGCTCCAGGATGGTTATAGACATCAAGTTCACTATTAGGAATGGGCATTCAAGGTGGTCTCTCCACTGTATTCTTGAATGTATGGTTTTCACTAGAGGATAGCTAATCCACTGTCTTAACACAGTTTCTTAGTCTTGATAAAGTTCCAGGTATGGGTTTCAACTTATGGAGGAGAACTTAACTCCAATGAGAGTGATTGGTTACTCCCATGATATTCGTGCCACTATTGTATACAAGTAGACATGTCTTCCAAGGCCAATTATTGCTGTAGAATTCATACTTGCTTAAGATTAGTGATTCTGTTTTTCCTCTAGTAGCATTCATAGCATATTTTAGTGGTTCTAAAGCTTTCAGGTCAGTGCCAACTTGGTTTCTTCATATGAGTGGTGTCTTCAGCAACAGGGACTTATTGTCCAGTTCTGGAGAGCAAACAAGAGCATTGACAATAACCTGTTTGGGGGTGTCTATGAGCCTTTTTGCTAACAATTCCAAAAGAGATAGCCCATTTTGGTTACTGCATCTTGTTTTTGTTAGCCCCTAGTGTCTAGTAGAGGCATTGTTGCCCTATTATGGAGTAATTCCATTTAAAATCTTTTCATAAATGTTTATGCATACATTTTAGGAAGTTTCTACAGTGGTAGGTTTCTTTATGATTTTTTGGAATATCTTTAGTGTTAGTGTCTATACATTTTGCTATAGAGCAAGTGCAGAATAAGCAAATGCGTAATCTGTCAAAGATTTCATTTTTAACACACTTCTATTATTCAGTTAATTTCAGAAATCACATATACTTTTATTTTTTATTTTCCATTTCATTAAGGGGTTTGATGTGCCATGGGGAATAATGTCCTTCAAATTCATGGCTTTATTATAAGGAGTAAACTCAAACTTTCTAAATGTCTTATTTCATGAAAGTTAAATCTGTTGACAAATTATTAAACATGTATGGGTTCCCACCAAGTGCCCTGTAGCCAAGATACCATTCTATCTGGTTGAGATAAACTCAACAGACCATGGTTTTCATCATTTACTTAAACCAAAATCACCCTGATCCACTAGATTTTGAATTCCTAAATGGAAATACAGCATGAGCTTTTGAAGCTTCCCTGTCAATCGTAGTTGTTTAGAAAGCAGCCTGAAGCACCAGTATGTTCATGTTACTCACCAAAGTGAATAAGTAAACAACCAAGCGAATGAGGGGAGAGTCCTAAGGAAAGCAACAATTTGGTTTTCACACAGCAAAGGGAAAGACTGAAGGATAGGGCACTGGATTCTTGAAGGGTGAAGTACTTTGGGTCCTTCTAGAAGTCATTTCCAAAAAATAGGTTTGCATTCACAGAACACACATTTGAAAGCTATCCTGTACACAAAAGTAGAAGTCCTCAAATTTTATGCTGCTGTGCAACTCTGGAACCTTCTAAATGTAGTAGAAAGGATGATAGGGAAATAATATGGATACATATTAGAATAGAAATCAGAAAGTCAGTACACAGGCGTAGCGGGGAGGATTTTAGAGATTTCTGAACCTGCAAGGTATAAACATTGAGGAGACAACTGTAAGTCTGGTTGGCAAGCAAGAATAAACTATTTGGTCAAGGGCTTGCACTGTGGCCTTTGTCCTTAAAGCAGTAAGAGCTTTGATAATGTGCTACAATGTAGGCAAAAGAAATGAACTGGTCTTCTTCCTTAAAGTAGCCATTTCTACAAATAATATAAAACAATGAAAGATCATAGGTAAGAAAAAACTGCAGCAGACCAAGTAACAGATGCTGCAGGGCCAAGCTAGCAGTGGGAACAGAGACAGACTCCAATGATTTCTGAGGTGGCAGGTTTTCCTGAAACATATTGGAAGGATTCTTGACAGTTCCAAAAATTCCATTTCTTCTGTGTCTTCAAAAATATAAGATATAAAGTTCAGCAGAGTTTGTGTCTAACCACTGCTTTTAGAACTTACTACAGTCTTCCTACACAAAATGTAGTCAAGGGACCACACCTGGGAACTTGTTCATAGGAAAGACTGGATTTCTAAGACTCAACCCAAACTCACTGAACAGAGACTGCATTTCTTTTTTTTAATCATTATTTTGTGGTTTATTTATGTGCATTGAATGCACCTGTAGGCATCCTAGAAGGCCAGACAGGGATATCATCAGATCCCCTGAAGCTTGGTTTTCAGGTAGTTGTAAGCCACCTGAAGTGGGTGCTGTGAACTCAACTGTAGCCTGTAGTGGCATCTTGTTCCACTGGAAATGTCACAAACTCAGTCATCTACCAGCTCCAGGAGACTGCATTTTAATAGGTAAGCTACAGACATATAAAACTTTGTTAAATACTTTACCACATTCCACAAAACTAGCTCCCTAAATTCATTTGCAAAAGGCCAGAGCTTCAGCACTTTGGAGCCTTGTCTAATCTATCCTGCATGGTATTGCTGGGTTGGTCACTTCCTGAAAATGAATGGTTGAAAATGATAAATATTCATTTCATCTCATCACTCCCTTCTAACTTGTGGTCACACACAAATTTCTACAGGATTATGAGCTACTTTTCCTGTACACCTTTGCTTACACTATAGCTATAACAATATCCTAAACAATGAAATGGCTGGACAAAGGACAGCAGCAGTAACACAAAAACTATTCTAAAATTAAACTACACTCATCAAAATAAACAAATAATAAACAAGTTATATAAGCAAGTCTATGAGATATTCCATTAGTTTCCTGGGATTCCACATGCAGAGAGGTTCTGGAATTCTGTTTATCCTTTGCCTTCAGCACAAGTCCTGTTCAGAGAATGGAAATTCCCACATGTATTCTCCGGGAGTTAATTTACTTTCCCAAGGACAAGAATAATGATATTTGATTCTTTATACTTAATTTTTGTGCTGTTCTTGAGCACTGTAATTCACTTCCCATCAACCTTTCAGGTTAGATAACTTAATCTGGATGACTCACAGCTCAGCTCCTGTATTACTACCTAGAGCTAGCTTATTAGCATTTCGGTGGTGCCTGCCAAAATAACCAAGGCTCACCATGCTATACTTAAGTTGTTTAGAAAAGGTGCAAGGAAAACAAAAATAGGCTCACATTTGAGTTTCCACAAACAAGAATGAGGTCTATTTAAGACTTCTAGTGACATATGATTTCATCTCTAGGGAAAACTGATAGTGATTTTTTTTTCTGAGACAAAACATCTCCTCATGTTTGCAAATCTAGGAACGAAAGACCAAAATGGACAAATGATAAATATCTTCTCAGTGAATTTTACTAAAAGTTGTTCCTAAATATCAAGTCCCTTAAACTGTCATTGCACAGTAAGAAGACAGGCTGCACTGTCTGGATATCGTCACTTATTTAGCTTCATATTTCAGGACAGCTTACACAGGCATACTTAACACTGTTTTATTTCTAGTAAGTGCCTGAATTTGTTGTTGCTATCCTGTGCCTTATTTTTAAATTGAGTATAGCTGATTTCCAAAGAAAGATTTGGCCGAGAACCTAAAGAATTTTATCTAACTCATTTTTACTGGGCAAAATCAAGAAGCATTATGTAGTAATCACATATGAGTGGCAACATTAAACATTTATTTTTTTCCATAATGGTGGGTCATTAAGGTGTTTTAAGAAATGAACTGTTATAATAATCTTCTTGTTGTAATATCTATAAAATTTTATAAGGATTTATTTAAAGGATTCCTTTGCTGTCCATCCAGGTCACTGGGGTTCAAAATTTCTGAAAACTGTCCTTTCTTAAAAAGAGATGTTTACTCCAGTTGTACTAGCAGCCTTTTATTCTTTTATCCCTCCTTGATTGGAAGACACATAGCCATGACAACTTCAAAGTTCTCCACTGGAGAATTTCTGGCAATTTCTTCAAACAATTTACTTTAGGGATCACTTTAAGATGGGCCTTTCACGTGATGACACAACACATCTCTGAAAAGCTGTGCTCATTTTCATCCCTATCACACTCAGAATATTGATCTGTATGTAGGATATGCCAGTACTACATGGACACAAACATTCATTCACAGGCATCTTCAACTACAACTTCCCACTCAAGACAAACTTCATTATCAAGCTTCAGATTGATATAGATAATTATAAGTTATCAATCTCTTGTTCTGTCTTATTTTTTCTTGTATATATCAAAACTCATACTGAACAACATATTCTGGGCTGTGCAAGAGGAATTATTTTTGTACCTATCTAATCTGCCTTTGTCCACTCGTTGAACAAATACACGCAAATTCTATCATATAACAATATTTGTGATGATATAAAAGTCATCTCCATATGTTTTTCAAGAACCTATTAAACTGCCACTGGAGGAACATGCTGGAGTCCTGGAGTGTCTGTGTTCTGCTGCTGTGTACGTAACTTTGTGAATTGAAAAGAAAATGTTCTCTCCCTCAAAACTTTCACAAGTTGACCTTTCTAACTACAGTAGTTTTCATTGCTTAACGGTTTCTGGATATATTTTTAGTCTGATAATCAGAGAATTACACATTTATTAAACTCAAACTTTATGGAAAATTAAAGCATAAATGCACTGTTTATACTTCAGTCAGCACCAGTAATTTGTGACAATCTAAGGCAAATCCATTCAGGGGAAAAATTAAACCAAATCACTACCCTAAATTATTGTTGCTTTCCTCCTTCCTTGCCTTGTAACTACTTCTCATCTTTGACTTTGAAACCCATCAGTTTAAACTTGGTTCTTATTCCAGTGGGCTAATCCCCTTTCATAAATCATGCTCAAGCGCCAAGGTAATTTGCACATCGTTTAAAGAGTATTTGCTTTGAAATCTTCACCTCAAGCCCTTTTGTATATCCTTTCTCTCTAAAGATTTGTAGTATTTGTTTTGTTCTCTGAGGTATAAAAGACCTGGATAAACTTTATTCCTGTTGTTTCAAGATTAGTTAACTAAAATGCATATTAATTCAGCAGGGATGGGAATAAATCTCAGTAAAGATGATCACGCGTGAGCCCCTGGGAATAGCAAAGTACAAAACCGTCAGTCTTCAAATCTCCTTGGACTTGCTCAAAGGAGTACTGGGGGATTTAAATTTCTAGAATATGTCTACAAATGTAATTTCTTTGTTGTGGAGAACAGGAGCTATACTGATTATTTCTCCCCAGAAAATTGTTTCTAATTTATATTTGAACAAAAATTAAGCTGTCTACCAAGTAGTTCTTCAAGAAGACAGAGAGAAAGTACAATGGGAAAGATGCATTTAGTACAGTACTAAATATTATATACCTGATATGCTATCGATTTTATTTATTTATTTATTTGTTGATTTATTATTTTCTTCTTTCAAATTCCTGAATGAAGCTCAGCAGCAGAGCACCCATTTATTTTCTTCTACAAACTGGAGAAATGGGACAGACTTCACAAAGTCAAAAGTAGCCACATATAGGTACAGTTCAAAGTTCTTTTTACACTTATAAACTCACATTTTACCATTTCCTAATAAACTTGCCAAATAATCATGACTTAGATGGCACTGACTTTTGTGGGAGTGTTAAGATTTTCCCCCTTATACTCTCTCCAACAGAAAATGACCAGAAATTTCTGGCACTTAAGTGTTTATCTGGAAATAACTTAGTAGACGAGAAGGTAATCAATCACTCACATGGGGTCACAGCCAAGACAGTCTTGTTCCACTTCTCTTCTTTCAAAGTGCAGGAATAGATGGTTCCCCAGTCCTCGGGGTGCCAAACTTTGCACCATTAAGAAAATCTACAAGTAGCTTGATTTATCTTCCTCACCCAGTTAGCTAAGACCCAACTAAGTAAAACTCAGCAGGAATGAACTTGATTTGTTAAACTTTTTTAAATTGGAAGATGCAACAATTACAACTTTCCTTCTCTGCTACTTGAGTTTCCATTGGTTGATGATGCTGACTCTTGAGTTTTCATTATACACAGAGGGATGTCTGCTATTTGCAATTAATCCAGGCACAATCCTCCTGGTACTTTGGGAAGAATGTGGAAGACAGAGCCATTTTATAAGTTGTAAACTCCTAAATTACCCTAAATTAGAGACACTATTAATCGGACACTTAAAGATAGGATCTGCCTATTGTTGTAGGCTCATCTTCCCCTGATGGAGAAATCAATTAAATATTTAGGATGTGGAATACCTTCCAGGTTGGATAATACATTTCATTTAAATTATGGTCCTCCAATCCAAAACATTCAATGGGATCTTAACGGATGGAAGCACATTACTGTCTCTTGGATTGGGCACATTAACACTTTAAAAATGAATGTGCTTCCCACGATTTCCTATTTGTTCCACCAGCTGCCTGTTGATGTGCCAAATAAACAGTTTAAAGATAAGTATGTAAAAGATGCATGCGTAACGTGCTGTGTGATGAGGTGCACTCTTATAGGAATAGTCTACAATGATGTCCCTGTCAGATTTATTTTTCTCAATGCCCCAGCAACACTAAATGAGCAGGCTCATTTGATCATGGGACAGTGGGAGAGAAACAGACAAGTGAGGCAGCTAGAACCTTTACAACGTTCCTATGTATAACTGTTCTCTATAATTCTAATTGTTTATCATCTCTTCCTACAATTTATCTTAATAAATACGTAATAAGTGTAGTAAGTGATTACTGTCAGAAAATTCTGGGACAATAAAGCAGACTTTGAGACAAGCTTAAGCATTTCTATTGAATAACTGTGTGACATGAATAGAATCCTTTGATTCCCATTTGTGGATTACTGCTATGTCTCATTGTGGACAATATTTTAAGAACCAAGTTGTCATGTCTTGCACAGCAGAGAAACACTGTATAGACTACCAGCTCTAGGCAATAAGCCAAGTATAAAATAGCTCTCTATTTTGATCCTCTCAGTTATTATATGACGTATGATTATTACCTCCTTTTTACTTATGTATAACCAAGACACTTAAGTGTCATTAATGTGTGCAAAGTCACACCAAGGAAGCAAACCATGAATTTGAAACCAAGCCTTCTAGCATCACATCCTAGGGCTACCACCTTGTTCCTTGTTCCTTGGTACTCCTGACTGGGGGTGGGGGGAGGGTGAAGCTGAGATAAGCAGGAGTTTACCACCTCTCCCACCTTTAACTCACTCTCTCAATCTCACTGAGGCTTTGTTTTAAAATGTCAATAATAATAGTGCCTACCTCAAAGAGTTTTTTTGGAAGCATAAATTATGTTAAATAATTTATAGGAAGGTATGACACAATAAATGGTACTAATATAATTAATACAAATATGATGTTTCTCCTATAGTATTTTGAAAAATACCCATTATTTGGTTAACCAAAGGTTATCATAAAGATAAATGATTGAAATCTCCAAACTTTCAACAATGTTTTGGGATTTTGGAAGCAAAGTTTATTGTGTGCCTTACTAAAAAGGCTAAACTTCTTGATATGAGTTACAAATCTACCCTCATTCATTTTCCATCTTCAACACATTTTGCATAAATATATCAGGTTCATATACTAAGTTAGACAATCAGGGGAAAAAAAGACTGTAACGTCAGCAATCACATTCTTTGTTTCTAGAGCAAAGCTTTTTGTGACAAATCTGATAGAATAGATTCTTCTTTGCAGATGCCATGCTTCAGGGGAGAACAGAAAACTCAGCTTACTAACATAATTATGTAACTTGAATTACCATATTTGGGGTGCTAAGCTTCAAAATAAAGTATAGAGTTACAAGTTTCAATGAAACTGCAGGAATTTAACTGACAGGAATTATTTATTAGCACTTTGATAAGAAGTAAACAAAGAAAGGAAAGCAAATTGATCTTTTCAAAGTAAGGTGGGAAGAATGTCTCAGTCGGCTTCCTATGTAATCACTGTCATTGGGAAGCTCAAGGACTCTTATTTGCTAGTAATTGATACCTACTCTTCAGTCTGAAGGATAGAAGACAACTGGTGTTTTAAGGGATTGTCTAGAAAGGAACTAGTCTTCAGTTTTTCGCAACTGAGCTAATGCATAGTAAATAGGGTAGAATCTTACAGATACCATCACTTTACAATAGTTGGGAAGCTATGCAGATAACATATGAATCCAATATTTAAATCCATCAGCAATGCGAATGAAGGGAACATAACTAGCATTCTACTGAGTCTACTTAGTGCTGCTTGCTATGTACATATTTGTAAGGCTAATTACTTGCTTTTGAATAGCCAATGAGGGGAGTCATCCTTGGAGAAGACTGATCCTCTCTCAGTAGTCATTAATTGACACTCCTCATATATGGGGTGTAGACCTATGTGATTTCACTTACACAGCATATCAACTGGTTCTCTCATTGTTTAGGCAACCTCATTGTTGAGAATTTTATGAGTACAGCTTCCCTGTCCTATATACAAGACACAATCTTGCAGCAGAGTTTTTGTTCTCTTGTTCTTACAGTTATTCATCCCCTCTTTCATGATGTTTGATATTCCCTGTGCCTTTGACACCTGGTTGTGTGTAGATACATACATTAGGGCTTGGTACTCCATGGTCAATTGTTTTCTGCATTATTACTGAAGATACCATGCATTCCAGATAGAATCTGGATCTGGCTCTCTCAAGTTACCTTCCCTAAGACTAGCTTTCATAATGGATGATATCATGCAAGCTGCCATAAGAGAAAAACGATCCATAGGCCCACTCAACTATGACAACTATAAGTCACAACAATGACCAGCATGACAAGACATTCCCAAAAAGTGCAATAGTGGCACTTATATTCTGGTGATAAGCAGTCACTGGCTACTTAGACTTTAGGCCCACTCAACAGGAAGGAATTCATGTCTGGTACTGGAAGCCTAGATAACCACCAATGCTAGTGAAGTCGTGGGACCTAGAGGAAAATCCACTACTACCACTTCCCCAAAGCAACATAATCTTGAATTGTGTTTTAAATACATATCCTCACACCTGCAAATAAGTATAGCTATCGCCCATCATCAAAGAAAGACTCTTTTGGGGGGTAGACAGAGACCATTACAGAAAACAGCAACTGGTTAGCCTATATAATTTTTTAAAAATGACAGAAATACATCCAATACAATGACAAATATTTAGAGAAAGCAGAAAATGTTTAGTATTATTACAAATTAAATATTTTTGAATTTTTCCAGTGTCTTAACACATTAAAATGAGTTTGGAAACAGTATAATACAAAAAAGCAAAGTGACATGGCAAAATAAATTTCCATAAAGTAAAAGAATTTTCTTCATACATGGCAAACAATTTTGAAGAAG